ATTATTATTAATTATAATATTGATTATGGTATGTTTCTATGATTATTCAGTCTAGTATTACACACAGACCCCGGGGTTTGCCCAAGCCCAGAATAGCGTAAATACCAGGGAATTCTGTGCGACGTCAACCACCAGGAAGGATTTTATGTTCAATTGTATTGCTAGGCTGTTAACCAGAACACGTTGCTTCTACATATCATATAACCAGAACATATTGTTTTTACATATCATATGGAATTAACTTAACCATACACTCATTAGGGTTTGTTATAGGGTCTCAAGAAAATATCAAAATCCCCCGGCCCCATGGAACAATTAACCATACAGTCATTAGGGTTTCCTATAGGGTTTCCTATAGGGTTTCAAGAAGATATCAAAATCATCAAAATCATCAAAAACAAAATCATCATTATTATCATCATCGTCGTCATCATCGTGATCATCGTGATCATCGTGATCATCGTGATCATCGTGATCATCGTGATCATCGTGATCATGGTGATCATTGATGACGATCGTCATCTTGGCTTGCCCGGACGCTCGTTGCGAGTCCGGGCAAACCTCAGGGTCTTGCCGTAGTATTAATATCAACTATAAATATGTACTATGGGTTAATGTATTAGTATGAATTAAATCGTTACCCTCTGGTAAACTAACATAGCTATGGAAAAACACCAATTTTGATAGGTAAATCAACTAATTGTACTATAAATGTGCAATTTTCATAGCTATGTTAAATTACCATATATATATACAGTATATATACAGTATATATATATATGGTTCTATGATTGGTGATGATGTGAATCCTCCACACCTTCCGCACCGAGTTCGCATCGCATCGTTCACTTCGTTCCCGACACTGCCGCCACACATCGCGACGGCCGCCGACAGAGCCATACCCCGGGCCGCGGCGGCGCGGACGCCATGACCGGACCGTTGAGTTTGACCTCCAAAAATAACGTAGTTTAGCTTTAGCAATAAACATAGTAATAACTGTAAGTAAATAGGTCATAGTAGTAGTTGAATAAGTCATAGATAGTCATAGAAATAATAATAAGGAAATAGGCATAGTCATGGTTTCTAACAATAAGTAGTAATATATAAATAGTAAGTAAGTCTTAGTAATAATAGTACACTGGATGGTTTTGACCCCAACAATAATAATTGATAGTAGTAGCAATAATAATGATAATAATATATAATATAATAATAGGAATAACGATAATAATGATCAACCCAGTAAAACATAGGGGTTTTACAAAACCATTTGGTGAAGCAAAGGGGTTGAATAACATCTTTGTTAGGAAAATGTAGGGGTTTAGACACATGATGGTTTTAGCATTGTTTAGCAACAAAGCTACTCTCAGAAAAACAACTCATGGGGAGTATTTTGCCACCAAAAAAATGGTGATATCAAGCAAGAAACATCGAGGATACATCGCTGCCCAACTGGCACCCAAGGAGCATGAGTTGTTACCATCTTGAGGACTTTCAGCTAATGCTTTGAGCCGTGGCACAAGACATAACAAGAGGATGAATTTCTCCAGCAGGCAGGCATAATTTTTCATGACCAGCGAAATGGATGAAATCAGCTCGGCTCAAATTTCTGATCAATCATCCTTGTATCCTGCTCCTTCAATAAACTCACTCCTTCAAACTTGATTCAGCATCATTCGGGACAGCTCAAATCACTCATACTACTGTGGCTAGTTTCGGCCAAACAGCACCCCCATGCCCCAAAAATTGATTCAAGGGAAAGTCTGGTATCTGGTGGTTAAAACATGTTCGCTGCAACCCCTAGGTTTGCCCACGGCCAATCCCGCATATCCTTTGACATGCTCAAATCCCTGAGCAGGGTTTAAGCTTTTTACTTTCCAAAACCACAAACACCAAAACCCTAAAACCTAAAACCCTAAACCCTAAATTAAAACCCTAAATCATGAAAACTTAAAGTCAAAATCACTGCGTATAGCCAGTGTTTTCATTGATCCTCTGGTGATAAGTATATCATATTGTTTGGATGTGTTGTTTGAGTGTGGGCGAACCAGGGGGTTGCGGGGAACATGTTAAAACTATTTTCTGTGTTGGTGTTTTTTTTACCGCAACTAATCCACCGAGGTGAAATTCTGCGGCGATGCACAGCTTTCAGTCACCTCATCATCGACCTGACGCCCGGATCTGGTGAAAAGCTAAGTGCTATTTGAGTCAGGGTGAATTTTTGAGGGGCTCCCCAAAAGCCATGGGAAATTCTCTGCTAAAAGTCATGCCAGACTTTGTGCTGCATCTGGGGGGTCCAAACCTATGAGTCAGAGGAGATTTGGGGGGATGATGGGGCAAAATCCAGAAACAACAGCTACTGTAGCTTGGCGTTCACCTGGGTAACAGGCTAACAGGCTACCAGACTCATAGCCAGCGGCAGTTGGAAACATATGAACCTCATCCTCATCCTCATCATCATCAACAACAATCATCAACATCATCATCATCATCATCGTCATCATCGTCGTCGTCGTCATCATCATCATCAGCAGCAGCAGCAGCATCAGCATCATCATCAATCATATAAATATAGTATGTATAATATGTATAATATCTATAATGTCTATAATGTCTATAATGTCTATAATATGTATAATATGTATAATATGTATATATATATATATAACATGTATCATAGATACTATGTATATACAGTCAGTAGATCATAGTAAAAAGGAATCTATCTATATCCCGGCCGAAAGTCTCCCCACGGTTCCCTTAGTTCTCCAACCACTTCGAAGATCATCCGCGAAGCCTCGAGGCTTCGAAAAGACCCTGACTTTGCTAGGAAAACCCGCAGGTTTCTGGAAAACCATCACTAACTTGGGGGTAAATGTGGTAATAACATTGTAATAACCCATGGAGAACCTATATTATTTAAATTATTTATATTTGTGGGGATATTCCATTGAATAATTAGTCATTGGTCATTGGTTTAAGGCTACCCAGTGAATCAGATTCTCCCTTGAATCGGCCGAAGTGGTCACTAATTTTTTTGCACATCCAAGTATTTTTACCTACGATTTATGGGATATTTATGGGATATCATGAAGATTTCCTAGGATTTCCTAGGGGGATATTTCATGGGAAATAACCAATAAGCAACGCATTTTTCTGTGACAGCCATGGCTTCGAACTTGATGCCATGAGGGTTGGCGGACCGGAGACCTGTTCCCCCATGGTGGCCCATGGCTGCTGGTAAAATCATCCCCTTTTTTCGGCTTGTAAAACCAAAGCTTTGTTGCTTGAAACCATTCAAAATTTTAAAAAAAAATCCACTATGTCTATCTATTTATCTGTCATCCCAAATATTTTCTGGATTCAGTCCCAATTCTTCAATCCTTAACTAACGATTGTTGATGGTGAAATGTTAGTGAAATGTTTATATGCAATGGCCGGCAATTCGGAATCCCATTGTTGTTGTTGCTTCACATAACAAGTCCCATCAAAACCCCATAAAATCTAAACATCTCATCCAAATCAGTTGCAATCCGTTTAAATGCCTATTTTCATTGTTCTTGTTCCATGGCCATACGACGCTTTTCTTGACAACGATGAAACGCCCTTCAACGCCCTTCAACGCCCTTCAACGCGTTTCAGCAAGCCTCGGCAGCTGCAGAATGCCGTAGCTGTTCCAGCTGAACCTCGCGGCAAAAAAAAACGGCATGATATTGCTCCCTCACCTATTTTTACGGAGGTTTGAGGCTGGGAAAATCCACAAAAGAATTGAAGGTTTTTTCATAGGACATCGACTATGGAGCTGTGAATTGGGGAAATCAACGGTGCTCATAGTCCAGCTAGCTATGGTTCACCGCTTGAGGACGGTCACCAGGGCGGGATTTAATCAACAAATATTAGAATATTATAATGGATATATATATATATATATGACGATATGTGTGGGTGTTTTCAAGTGATTTTTCTAAATCTTTGCAAACTTCACATGATTTTTCTATAGGAATGGGTCACAACCCATTCCTACCCCTGGTGACTGTCAAAATAACCATGATATCTATGGATCTTCATTCCCGGTTTAGATCCATCCCGACACGATATTTATGGAGAAAAAAGTGTATTGAAGGTATATCACACTATATACCCGGCCTGGTAGACATACAAAAAACTATGGAACATCACCATTTTTTATGGGTAAATCCACTAAAAATAGCCATTTTCAATAGCTATGTTAGTTTACCAGAGGGTAACCATTGCAATATATATTGGGATCTATGTGCTATAGTTCTATAGTTGGGATGTATGGAGTACATAACCAACTTTTTTCCTGACCATATACCGCACTATGAGCGGTACAACATCAGCGGTGTTACCCAGGAATACTGGATATATACTGTGGAGATATACTGGGATACAAGGGGCATCTAATCAACAAGGTGGGGCTTCTTCAAATGGGTCTCCAAAATCATGGCTTTCAATACTAAGTCATGGTCTAATGATTGAATGATTTTAGCGGCTATCCCCATTTCAGGAAACCTCCATTTATCTGGGTAACATTTCACTGAGCTGAAATCTTCGGCCATTTACTAACCATGATTCCAAGGTCACCACAGTGAGCTCACACTTTGCCCAGATCTTGGGATGGCTTTACGGTTGACCAAAAAACCTCTCATTCCATTCGATTCGACGCGTCATAAACTCATCAACCCAACAGCAAACACCTAAATTCTTCAGGGTTAATCTGTCAAACAAATATCAAAAATGAGCATCAGCTACGACAAATTATCTAGTGGTTATGTGGATATAAGATGATATAAGTAGGTCATGAAGTAATCAGTACTTGCGTGTGCATCCCAGTCAAATCATGGATATCATGGATAGTCACCGTCATTCCATAATGGAATATCCGAAACTTGGGTAAGACAAGGTTCACCACCACAGGTTGAACATCTGCCCTCAGGGGCCAAGGTTTCGAAGGTTTCCGTTTCCTCATGGCGATACCGCCCAAATCATCCGTGGTATTTTCGGGTTTTCCATGAAATAAAGCCTCCAGCTATTGAAGTTATTGGGGATTCCGCTGTGATCTGACCTCAATGTCTCGATGCAGCGCCGCAGCATCCACATCTAGCTCTTGTTGCCCAGCCTGGCTTAAAAATACTGGCTGAAAATCACGTCATTGATGATAAATAGTGACAAATGGGGCTAAGTAATAGTATAAATTATAGGCAGGGATAATGAGAAGTAGCGATATATTTTTGTTATAATGGTATATTCTAAGAATTATCACTTCATTAGACTTCATTAGAATGATATATATATATATATGTTATTTTTATCTATTGGTGGAGTAATAATTTGAAGAAAAACTAAGAATTATTAGTTACTAGTATTACTAGTAGTTACTAGCGGAAGGAAGATAAGTTTGTTCGTTGTAAAAACCTCGAAAAATAATAGAAAAAGAGTACATCTGCCTACACACATCTTCCACTGTTTTAGTAGAATCTTACCACATTCTATCTTCTTGCGGGTTGCTACAGCTATAGGCTTGTACTAGTGCATGGGATAGCAGGATGGGGCTGTAATCAATTCCAGAACTATCCATATTCTCGTCATTATAGCCATTCTTTGATTATAAATCCTCATCAAAAAACCATGTGCAATGATTCAAAGCACATTCGATGGGCTTTTTCGTTGCAGAAAGGGTTATCACATGTCACATGGCCCCCGTTTGCGCATCACGCTGTTGGTCGATGAGCACCTTGGGATTGCTCCACACATTCATTTTGATATATTTTGATCATGGAGATGTCATGTTCAAACTGGAAAGAGATCCAGTGAGCTTGGATCAACTTTCTCAGCGAGATAAGTATGGCTCTTTTTTGGGGAGCCCGACCCACACCAAACCATATGATTTCCAAATCAAGTAGAGATCCAGTCTTTGTTTCACCATGGCGACATGGCGATGTCACAGAGAACTCGTTACCTTTAGTCGACTGTCACCATCCAGCGGAATCCAGCCTTGGGAATGTAAAAATGCCGCTCCTCAGCGCCGTTACTTGATGGCAATTTCACAGATTTCAATTTTCACAATGATAAAATCAAACATCATCAAACATCATATATATATATACACATATTATATATATATATTATTATTATTATACAATCTAATGTAATAAAATAGTATGGATTATAATAAAATAATCATATATAATACATATAATCACACAACCCAATGCCCAAACATGTGCATTTCGTTAACTACCAGTCAGCAGGAAAAGATATGCCAGCGGTAGAATCGTACTTAATGTTGCAGTCAGCCTTATGAACATATCAAAACACCATTGTAAAATAAAGAATATGTCAAAACATCATTGTCATTCTATGTCCCCGTCATTGTCTTTTGGATAGTCAACAACCATCAACAACCACATTCAACAAATTTCAACTAACTCATTTCAGGAGGTAAAGCATCACCATCCTCCTCGCCCGTTCCTCCTCATCGTCAGCTGCTGTGTCTGGTTGACCAGACCTGCCACCAGCCGGCCGGAGCTACCCCGGACCGCAATGACTTCCCATGGACCTTCCCATGGTCCGGCAATGGCCATTACCTGGGACATAACTGAGGCTAACTGAAAGTTGATTTGGGTATGGGTCAATACCTATTAATACCATTTTTAGTGGGATGAACATCCATTTACCAGCTATTTTGATGTTCACCAGGGGTACCAGGGTTTTGACCCATCCCCATTTGGGACTGTGAAGAATTGAAACAAAAAAACTGGCAGCTCAGGGGATGGCCATTGCCATTGAAAACCCCAGACTTCGTTATGTTGGCCGGTCATGGCTGGTCATTGCAAGAAACAGTCGCCAAGGCCGCCAAGGATTATGCAAGCTCTTAAAGGTTCTATGTGTGCAAAAGAAAACTTATTAAGCAGATATACTTAGTATCTCATTTTTTTATTGGTATGTTGTTGCTTAAGAATCCATTTGTTCTTGGGGTCTATTTCCCATTGTATTGGTGACCCGAGTTCCTACCTGGACCTCTCAGCCGATCCAGAGAGGTAGCGCAGGCCTGCCACTGTGTCGTTGATCGACACCAATTCGAAGTTGGTCTTCGAATCCGAAAAGAAGGCGATCGTTGGAGGCTGTAAAAACCATCCCCAAAAAAATGTCGATTGGGATCATTAGCCCCTTTTTTTGCATGGAAAATGCAGAAAGAAACCACAAAAAAAGGCTAAATTGGCAAATAACATTTCATATCATTTACCATATGAAATGTTATGAAACCAATGGGAATTGGTAAACAACAAATGGGAAATTCATATCATTTCATCATGTAGATCTTTCTACGGAGGGAGGTCGTCAGCGTTCAAGAGTTGGTGTTTGAGAGCGATGTGATGCTTTTTGAAAGCAAGTCACTCTCTTCCTTGTGGGTTCTTGAGAGTCTGGAGTCCTGTCTGTGTATAACGATGTTTCCTTTTCTGATCCACTTCCCTTAGCGCAGCTGTGTGCATAAAATGGAGCGAGCTTTAGCACTATTGTGGTTACACCTCTGAGATTGTATGAGATTCGCATTCTTCCCGGCAACAAAATGGACAAATGAATAGAATTGAATAGACATGTAGATGCTCTCTTTTTTGCGGGGACGTTCTGGTCTTGGTGCGATCGTGAACTCTTACCTCAGGAGCTCACCAGTATTCTAAACACTTTTGCACCACCAGCGAAGGCGCGAAGACTTTTTAGGCATATGAATACTATGAACCAAACACGTTAGGTAAACAGAACTAAACCCTCATGTTGGTGTTGGTCCCTGGCTCTAGGAATTCTCGCTCCTCAGTCGCCTGGTAAAGATATCAGATACGCGTGTCTGAGAATAATAGGAAAAACGATGATTGACCATTAGATTTGGGATACCATATTCTCAAACAAACCAATATAATATGAGTCAGTTGTTCATCCCTATGTTGGAAAAGCACCAGCGGAATACTGTCACTTCCTGGTCCGTTGCGAGCGGGTGCATGGTATTCAAAGATCCCCATGTTGCGCTGGCCTTCTTCCAATAGGTCCACCGCACCATCGCGGTTCAGCTCATCATGAGCAAGCCTGATCAAAAAATATGTGACATGAACAAGAATCTGAAGATATGACAATTATATGACATAATTTGACAATGTTTTTGTTTGGAAAGGGCAAATACCCTGATATCATTTATGATAATTTATGTCCAGTGCTTGGGAATTTGGAGAGGCGCGACCTACTCTTCATATGTTCATCCAGGTCAGTGCACGGCCATTTTGTCGTGGACATCTACCATGCAAAGCCAATATGATGTTCAACTTAAATCCCAATCGTATCCAATGTTGTTGGAACAAAACGAAACAAGCTCTCATAATATATAACATAATATACTGTAATTCAATAATGATAATAGTGATAATAGTTATAACATGTAATAACTATACTCATATTATTCTCATTAAAAAACGACAACAAACTTGGGAATTCACTCACTCCCAGCACCGCGACGAGCACCGGGGATCTCACAAGATCTTCGCAATCTTCTGCAGCAGGGCCGCATAGCTCACTGCCTGGAGGCCAGGCAACCAGGCAAGTGTCTTGAGATTTCACCCAAGAAACAATGGGCTTTTGGGGATTCTCAGAGAAAACCCATGGGAAAAAGCATAGAAAATGATATGTTTTTTGAAATCCATCAAGTCGTCAATTATCCAATTCCGATTCAAGTCCATCATTTTCATTCCCAAGTCGAATGGCCATCGCTATAGCCATGTATTGCGTATACCCCATTTTCAAACGCAGCCAGATAGGGAATCACAGAGGGATCAGATTCTGTTGGTGATGTCGGTCCAATTGTAATGTGTTGAACACATGGGGAACAGCAAAATCCAAGGGGTGGCCAAACTTTCCAAAAAAGGTGACCACTTCCTGAGAAGACTTGAAGCAAGACTAGATCTGTGATATGTCACAAGAAGATAGAAGAAGATACAAGAAGCATTTCCTCACCATGTCGAGTCTTGGATAGACTGGAAGTCCATTTTTAGCTGATTTTCTTCTGTTCACCACTCAGTTTATTGAGCTATAGATTGGCCATATCCGGCCGTAATCCCCATGTTTGATAGTGGTCAGTGAATTTCAATGAATTTCTGCCAAATTCCCCACGTAGACTTAGAAAAACCTCCCATTCACCATCATTAACCATCATTAACCATCAGTAACCATCAGTAACCATCATTAACCATCATTAACCATCAGTAACCATCAGTAACCATCATTAACCATCATTAACCATCATTAACCATCATTCACCATCATTAACCATCATTAACCATCCTTAACCATCATCATCATCCTCTATTAACCATTACAAACACCACCATTCACCAATACTTTGAGTCGACCCTCTCAAATTTTCCCCAAAAAAAAGTCCTGCTCGCGCCTCAGAGGTGTGAATGCCTCGCTTCTGAAGATTCTCCAAGCCTTCATTGATGGCATCCTCGCACGGAGCCGTCACCGCACCATCCCCAGATGGTGACCATCTGGGATGGTTTCAACATATTTCAACCATCCAAACCATCCCCAAATGAGAATAAAGGTCCGATAGGTTTTTGATGGTTTTTGGCGATTGCCCACATTAGACACTTTTTCATGGTGAATATCACGACATGTGCATGACATGTGCATGAGCGTGGGACCTTTCAATGGCTACGCGAACGCTGTGCGAACAAAGTACGAGTACTTCCAGTTCAACTACCACTTTGCACAAAATTTAGCAGGCATCATCGGGAAAAAAACACCGGTTGACGTCTGTTCAAATCTGCAGGATATCATGTCTGTTGAGTCGCTTCAACCAAAGAGAAAGTGCCAGTCAACCAGGGTATCATCAGTGATCTACAATGCACTGTGAAAAATGCCGGGACTCCTCTATCGCCAATGGCTATTCTCACAACATCCCCAAGTCAAAAAAAATGATCGTAAATACATGTAACAATGTAAATACTTTCTCCAAACCCTAAGCGATCTTTAGAAATACTCATCACCCCTCTGAGAATATTGAAACCAAAAATCATCCCAAGTAGATTTGCCTTAAAATAGTATATGCCCCTTTCCGTTGGTTAATCATTGTCCCCACTACAATGGCTATTTGGGGGGTATACCATTTTCAGACACATCCAAATCATATTATGTCATATTAAGTTAAGTTTATATCCCAGTAAATCCACACTATGTCCCATGAAATCCCTATTGTTGTTGGTTGTAAAAGCCCCTTCTTTCAGCCTCACCACCCATTTTCAACGCCTGGCACGCAGCCAGACCAGCGTTGTCTGAGGTCGCCTGCGACCCAGCCAGTCACCTCTCCTCAATCAAGAAATGATATAAAATATTATAAAATAGATCAATGGGAATCTTTAGAATTTGTAACGGGCTATATATATTATATATATATTATATAATTATCCGTGTGACTGACTTAAAACAACCCATGAAACTTCCGGGGGCTGCGCCTCATGAAGTTCCAAGACGGAGTCCAACAAACGAGCCATGGAGGCGAGTTTGATGATGTCCTCGACGAGCTACGTCACGCGACGTCACGCGACACGGTGAGCAAACATGGGAACATGGGTAGATGGTAACACCGGTATATACCCTCCAGTAAACTAACATAGCTATAGAAAATGGCCTATTTATAGTTGAATTACCTATTAAACATGGTGATTCTCAAGAGCTATGTTAGTTTACCAGAGGGTAGATGGTAGTAACATCCCTGTTGCTGAATGGTTTTCCACGGTCATGGATGACTTGTGTTTCAATGTTTTTCGATGTCTCAATGATTTCCCCCTGTCTCAAAATCCTGGTACACTGAAAAATTCACACCACAATAGCTGTCAAATGAAGTGTCATTTCCTCCAAAAAAATGTATAATATGTTTTGATCCAGCTTCATATTCTTTGGGACAGTAGCATACACACTCAACACAGTGGATATGATGTGTATCGTACATATTGTACAGGAGACATATAGGGAAGTGAGAATATCTGGAGAATGTCTAATCATAATCCTGTTCCCCCTCATTTTGACAGAAAACTATCCGTTTCCAACCCGCAAACAAGACTGGTTTAGTACTGGAGGTAGCAGATCATATTTTTGTGCCATAGATGCTATCTATCTGGCAAGGGGTGCTATCTATCCTGCGAATTCAAATGTTTGGCTGAAAATGCGGCCAATGATCTTCGAAATGGTTCCATTTACGTGGCAGTCCTCATCTTGACGCAGCAAAGTGTCAGAAAGTCATGGAATGCCCACCATAAAATCATCACATCTCCTAAGGATTCACTATTTGTTTTCAACATATTTCAATCACATTTCAGAGCAGTGTTTCGGGCTGGAGAATCAAGATACCACTCCAGAGATCAATAGCTATGGGAATCCCCCAGTTTACACTGTAGAAATAGGAAATTGATCGATTTTCCAGACAGGTTAGATCAAACCAGAGGATGTTTGAAACCCCAATTGGGTTTGTCTGAAATGTTTGGGGGAAAACTGGGAAAACACAAAAAAGATCCAGTGGATGATCGTTGCTCCCAATTTCAATGGCCACAAATTGGGGCATACCTCATTTTCAGATACACCCAAATGTCAAAAATCAGGTAGAATTACATTAATCTTCATATATCTTCCATGATCTTCCCGTCAACATATCCCCAATGTTCATAAAATTCCCATGTCCAGATTCGATTTTCCAGTATCATAGAATTGGATTATGGGAAAATTTACAGGAAAGCCCTATATTTGATGGTAAAAACCATGGTTTCCTGTAGATTTTCCCTTAAACCAATCCAGTGACAGTAAGATCTCCCTATTTTCTATCAGACCCAATGGATCTATCGTCCTTGGAGCACTCCACCCGCAGCGCTTGCAGAAGCAAAGGCTTGGCATCCTCCAACCGTCCGCGCCTCGAAAAAATGGGGATTCAAACTGCAAACATGGTAAGTTAGGAAAGAATGGGGAGTCAAATAGAAAATTGCTGCCTGGTATTGGAACCTTTCTCTTGATTAATTGTTTAGCTATCGAAATTCCTTTGGAACCAACACAGTTTTAGCAGGCAATCTGTTGGTCGGTCACCCCCAAAGTTGCTAGCCATTGCTTGAATATATCATTATTATTCATTATTTCTGTTGTTCCCCTCCGATAATGATAAGTAATGAAAATAGAAAAACACATATGAAACAAAAACAAAAAAGATAAGTAAATAATATCAAAACCATAAATATTGAACACAAATAAATTGATTTGGTTAGTCTCCAATACTTCCCCTCCAAAGATGAAAGTAGATCCTTTTCCGAAGGGCTTTCCCCATCTTTGCCCATGGCGTTTTCCACACAAAAACCTGGCCCCGTTCTGCCCGCCTCTGGTAGGCGCCGGCCAAATCTTCCATGGCCCAACCCGTCAAGGGCTTCTTGGGACCCAATACCTGGGAATGGCTGAAACGCCAATGGAGAAATGAGATTGAAATCATGGGATTTCAATAGGGAAATGAGTGGGATGTCTTGGGAATTTACTGGGAATTCATGGGGATCTAATGGGATCTCTATATATATATATGTATATATATATAATACTAATAATAATAATAATGTAACATTCTATAGCAATCTTTGTATCAAACCAGCTGGTTGGTTGAAAGGGCTTCCCGTAATTGACTATGATGATCCACTATATACGTATGTTGGACGTATAATTCCCGAACTAATCATCAACCGGGGTTTTGAAAACTACTCATTTGGGGGGCAAGAATTTTTCGATCCAATGGTCCTGTTTAATTAATAGGTCAATCATCTAGAAATTTGCCACCTTCCGTGGCGATGTCAAACTACCAGAAGGTAAACCCATCCAGCGGAGGTATCTTTGGGTTTCCCTTATATCATTTGAGCGGCGCCATGAGCCCCCTTGCCAGGGCTGAAGCCCGAAAAATCAGCTTCCCCTACTTGGCTCATAGTCCCGCAAGTCATGGATATCTCATGGGTTAATGAAAAATGTGTGTTTTCTTCTCAGCAGGAATCCCAGGGGTGAGTTGCTGCAAGGACCGATCAACGCGGTCGTCGGTCAATCCTCCAATTACAGGTAGTGTCGACCATCTTCAGCCTCAGCCGGTGCCTGCATGTAGAGTTGATAGGACTCTTCTTGCAACTTGATGGCTTTGTCATAGCAATGGTTTCGGGCCTGAGCAACACATCTTGAAAGCTGATGGAAATGAGGTGGGTCCACATGAAACCAGGGAAGCGGAGGATAATTGCTATACTAAACAAATATACCTATATAATCTATCCTGATCCTTGATTTTGATTTTTGAAGCAATGTTGACCTCTGATGTCCAAAATCTCAAGAATGGATCAAAATGTAACAAAAGAACAGCCCCTATCTCTATCACTGATCTGAGTCCTTTGTTTTAGTAACATCTTGGATTTTGGGTTGCAAGCTTCGCAATATTGCTACCCAGGCCGTGTCATTTCGCCAGGAAATTTCCTGGTTCTGATCCTGAAACGAAATTCTATAGTGCACTGTAGTTATGCCGTGTGCACACCAGAACACTATTTGTAGTAATCCTAGTATATCTTAATAATAATAATAATATGGAACGGAACATGTTTTTCAAAACCTTATTAGATTATATTGAACAATTTTGAGGTTCCAAATGGTTCCAAGAGCTGCTAAGGAAGCCGTAGGCATACATCAATGTGTGCTGCCATTACTAGCATCCTCTAATCATCTGTGAGCAATGAGAAGGGGCCACATCTGCTGCCCTGGTGGATTCTGGATAGTTTAGACATGGAGTGAGAAAAGCTACTTGTGTGGACACTGTGAGTCAAACTGCACACTGCAGCTGCTGACAACCGCAACAAAAGTCAACAAAAAGTGGCGTCGTCTGTGAAGTGAAGCCTTTGCAAAATGTGTAAAGCCCCCGGCGACCGAATACCCCACAAAGTACAACCCCCATGGACGTATCTTGGGAAAATACATGCGGATGGGCAAATCTGTCTAAGACGAGGCGTTGAAATTCCAAAAGAGGAGGAGAAAAAATAGGTTGCCTACTTTTTATCTTGGCTCTCCCTTTGCTCAATGGGAACACCTCAACAATGCAACTGGACCTCTAGATCTGCTGGTTAGTCCGTCTCTTCATCGGATCGACCTGCGCATCTTGACAGAAGTCGCCCCGCACCATGTAGCACTCACCAGCCTTCACAGCGCGACACGGGGTTCAGCCCATGGAGAACACCTTGCCAATGTAATCTTGTGGCAGCATGCCAACCAGTGGAATTTTCGCAGTTTGTGCTTCGTTCCCAACAGGTCAGACTCCGCTTTGCACAAAATGAAGGTATGTCCCTAGGACTCACCGTCTGACAGGTCAATGGGGGGCGTGGGAGTCCCAGATATGCGAAATGAGGCTGCCCAGAAACAGTCGAATGTTCCTCCATTGAAAATGGCTACGATAGAGAAGATTGACCCAGAAAAATTCATCGTTCACCAGGGTCAACCCCGGGAGTATTCCCCTAAGAGTGCGTCAAGAAACATGTAACATTCAAGGTACTTGGGTCCAATTTCAAAGTAATTAGTTCGCACATCTGTCAGAAATCCAGACTATACTAAAACAGTTTGTTTTTTATGTTCTTTTGTTTAACGTTTTGATCCCCACAAAAAAATCGCAGCACACTCCACATCTGCCCGCAAACAGCTGGGCGCGACGGAGTTGAGCATCTTGCATCGCATGATGGTATCGGTTGGCCTGTCGAAACGAAATGGTTCTGCGAAGGTGTCTCTAAAATGGCCAAATGACGAGGGGTTCCCTAAATGGAAATTGGATGATTTAGGGGTACCCCTATTCTAGGAAACCTCCAAATACGGTCGAAAAATCAACAGAAAACATGTGGGGATATTGACCTACCCACTCAAGTGTGCCTGGTTTAGTATTGTTTTGTTCTGTTTTCCTCGGTTTTGAAATACCTGTGGGTCAGACTTTAATACTTGAGAACCTTTCCCTGGCTCAAAAGTTCAAATTTGGGCCGCCATTTTTGGTATTGCACCATTAAATCTTCCAATAGTGTTCAGAGTCATCAATGTCACCCAGTCAATTGGACAAAACAAGAACCAGCCTGGTATAAGCTGGTACCCTTCTGAATTTTCCAAAAATAAATAATTGTAGAGAAATGTAGAGAATAAACCTGCATGGTATCTATATCTTTTCAAGTTGCGGCTTGTCACTTCTGGCCCATCTTCATCTGGTCCACCTATCATTCTGGATCTTGCTCCATAATCTCTCGCAATGAGGAGCCCCAACCATTGTCATAGAATTGGATGATGGGAAAATTTACAGGAAAGCCCTATATTTGATGTTGAACCATTGCTTGTCCCCATTGGATATGGCCAGGCTGTCCCCATTTGCTCAGACCATTTGCTCACCACCGAACTGCTGGAACCCCTCGGGCCCCCACTCCGCTGTACCTCAGTTGATGAGTCGGAAAATTCCACAAGTGCCCACGGTACAACAACATGGCTGGAAAATGTTCCACTCATAGATCATGTCCCTATTAAAAGTGGTGATGTTCCATGAATTTCCAGCGCAGTTTAAAAAAAAAAAAACATATTGTATACACCAAACATGGAAAATATATGAGGTCAAGCACCACATATATACATATGTATATATTTATTTATTTATTTATATCAACAGTATACAAAATCACCCCCTCAAAGCCTCTTACTTGGATGTGCATCCCACTTTGGATTCATGGTACTTATCATCTACATTAATAACAAACATATAACATCATATAACCCATACTTCATCCCATATATGAGTGATATATAATACATATGGAATATATATAAATAACATATATATAATATTGTATATAATATATATTATATATGATATATATTATATATATTATATATATTATATAAATTATATATATTATATAAATTATATATTAAATATATTATATATATTATATATTATATATATTATATATTATATTATATTATATATATATATTATATATATAATATATATAATATATATCATATATATTATATATATCATATGTATATTATATATATTATATATATTATATATTATATTATATATATATTATATGTATTATATGTATTATATATATTATATATATTATATATATAATATATAATATATAATAAATAGTATATATAGAATATATTATATATATTATATATAATATACATTATATAATATATATATATATTATTATATATATATATTATATATATCATATATATCATATATTATATATAATATATTATATTAAAAATATATTATATATTATATATAATATATATATATGATATATATAATATATATAATATATATTATATATAATATATATAATATATATCATATATATCATATATATCATATATATTATATATATCATATATATTATATATATTATATATATTATATATATTATATATTATATATATTATATGTATTATATATTATATATATATATTATATATATTATATTATATATATATATTATATTATATTAAATATATTATATATATTATATATTATATATATTATATTATATATAAAAAATAATATATATAATTTATTATATATATCATATATATTATATATATTATATATATAATATATAATATATATAGAATATATTATATATATTATATATATTATATAATATTATATATAATATAATATATATATCATATATTATATATATTATATATTATATATATTATATATATTAATAGTCTATAATATATATATTAATAGTCTATAATATATATATATATATTAATAGTCTATAATATAAATAATATATAATAATATATATATATATATTCCATATATAACTGGGGGTATGACCCACGAAGTGGGAATGCCAAGGAGCGGTGCATCTCCAGCGCTTCGCCGATGAGCTGCGCCGCCAAGGCGAGGTCCTCGAAGCGACCCAGCTGCCTCGACAAAAACGGCGGTGGTAGAAGCTTTCAAAGATAGGGAAACTATAATAGCAGTATCATTGGATATCATCTTTGACTGTAATATTATAGCAATGGGATTGAACCATCCACAAATAATGGGAGTATCATTGGATATAATGGGGAAAATATGGCCAATTAATGGCATATAATTATAATGGTTTAATGTGGGTAAAACAATGCAATAAACCCATTTGGGAATGGTAAACATACCAACTATTTGTGGCGATAGTTATAGCTTTCAATGAGTTATATAGCTTCTAATCTATATAGTTATAAAATGTTAAAAACACTAATCTATAGTTAAAGAATTCCTTGTTTTTGTTGAAGACTTCTAGACGTCCTACAGATTAGTTGAACACTTCTAATCATTCTTGTTTGCTGAACGCTTCGAAACTTCCTTCGATGACTTAATGGAGAAATACATCATTTAACATGGATAAATCGTGATATCATGAAGTTTTAATTCGTTAACAAAAATAAATCCATGTCCTTTCATGGATTTGATAGTTTATCATCCATTTTCAATGGCAACTGGGAAAGCTGGTATAATGGATGTAATCTACGTAGATAGGTTGAAATAAATCAGTAAAATGACTGGTAGGGTGTAGCTGATGTTTGTTACTGTAAACTGTTTTACGATTTGAATATCCACTGCTTGGTGATAAGATATTCAATGTGTTCGTTTTTGGTCTCAATGGCAAAGAAAAAACATCAACAGAATTAAATATCATTTCATCCATAATTTTGTTGTTAGATGTCAGTGATATCATGTTTGATTGGATTAAAATGGATTAGAATGGATCTGTTTGTATCAATATTTTGGTGAAAATGTCACCGATCAATGGGACAATGTAAACATCTATTTCGTCTGATACATACATAGGTATATAATATCTGGGTAAATTATAATATTTCACTAACCTGAATTAAGGCCATTTGGGGATGATTCCCCTTATTAACCATGATTCCCAGTGAGGTCGCAGTGAGGTGATTATAATTTACCCAGATAATATGACAAATCCAATTAGATTAGATTCACTGAAAAATGTGAATGCTTAAAACTTATGTTCATCCTATGACCTGGGGATTTTTCAGCCACATGTCTTTTTAGGCCCTGAAGAGCACCTTCCCGAAATCCGTCGGTACTGAGATCCCCTGACAGGGAAAGTCGCGCATGGGTCTTTCCCAGGTCCCATTGGTCAAACCAATGCGCCGGCACCTGAGGATCTTGCCGAGGGATATCATTCCATCAATAGCTGGAAAATCCCAAGAGATCCATGGGGTTTACCGAAAAACTGAAAGTTCTTCAGGTAACACGGTACCACGGCTCCTCTTTGAAGGTGATAAGTGATAGTTGGGTACGTCATGGAAAATATCTGGGATCTCAAACTCCATGTGCCCTCTTCACGCTCACGCACTTCTCAAAGTACTCCAAGGCCTACGCGTTTTCGTCGATTCGAGACACAGCAAGACATGTCGATTCCATGCCGAAAAACTGCAATTGATCCAGGCCGCCTACATTCTGTCATACAGTGGAATGCATTTTGAAGTCTTCGTTCCATACACCATATATATCCATATACATATATATATCATATATATATATATCATATATATCATATGTCCATATATATATATATATATGTATATATATATATCATATATCTATATATCATATATCTATATATCAGGCCACCAGGATATTTCGGATCTTTCGGCTTTCGACAGGTAGACCATGATACTCCGACCGATTTAGATGCAAATCCTGCCGTCATGACAACCGAGAAAGGGGGACCCCTAGATGGAATCTCGGATTTTTGTAACTTGGGTTAGAACTAAACGTAAAAACTGAGGTTTATATAGTGGATTCACAGAATATCTACAGTTTATATAGTGGATTCACAGAATATCAAGGGTTGGCTTAGTATACCTCAACAGAAATAGTGTGGGAAGCCCACAACCCGAGAAAAATCACCAAAACCGCCCGGATCGTCAGCCTTCGGGAAGTCGCGTAAGCTGGTGTAGATCCATCCAAAGTTCCCTAGGTCGTGTCGGCTGGTGCGGGTGGAATCGTGTATCGCGGAATAGGCCGCAGTTCGCGATCAGCAAATGAAAGATGTGAAAACGATAACACAATTTAGAAGAAAGAAATATATGATACCCTTTGGTGATTTTTTTCATAGACCCTGAAAATAACCCATGTTTAGTGGAAACTAGTCTGAAAAAGAACTATCTACCAGGGTCTATGTTAATTTACTGGAGGGTAATATGGGAACATTGAATTATCATATAAATATAACATGATATTATCACCACTACCAAAAAACTGTGCTGTGATGAACAGAAAACGGTTTGGGCAACTATTGAACTACTGAGGCAGAGTGAAAGACTGGATGACCCCTAAGGTTTACTTTATCAAATCGAGTTCGCAAGAAAGGCCTCCAACAAAACACAAATGTGGACGAGAACCATCCAACAAAAAAAACGGTAGTGCTAACAGTGCTAACCTCGGATATATATATATAACGCCTGCGCTGTTTCCATTTGAGTAGCAGATGATATTTCCCTATTTAGGGTGGAAGTCCCTAATTCATCAACCAGGTTTTGCGCCAAAAGTTGCTGAATGTTGCTGATCTACACCTCCCCACAATCTGAGCCAAAAGGACGATTTTCAACATTGACACAAGACCCCACAGGTTTTGTATCACTTCCTGAAGTCGCTAGAATTTCCATTGGAAATTCCAAGATTTATATATATATATACAATATATATATAGTATAATATATATAATATATATATAATATATATAATATATAATATATATATATATTATATATATATAATATATATCACATCTTGCAGCAAATCATCCAAAAATGGATGGACAAGTGGCGGTAGACCGTATCGTAGAGCTCCCATGCCTGAGCATCTATCGTTGATTCAACAGATTGAAATGGGGGATTTCTGATTTTGGGGGAGATTTATTGGGATATAATGGGATATAATGGCATCAACTATAGACTATGGATAGATTGTTCATTGGATATGGATGGGACAAGATGATCACCAACTCAATAGGTGCTCCCAATTTATTGGTGCATAAAATGCTCAAATAATTGGCCACCAATTCTAGACATGATGATCAATTGCATCAAATTTTGGGGCATCCTATTTTCAGACAAAGCCAAATTTACTGAAACATCTTTGTTTAAGACAAAGATTGGGGGGTTCCTTTTTTTCGTCCCGCAAATATTCCCTCAAACCATTTTGGGACAGTCACAAGTAGAAAGATACCTGTCACTTGTCATATCTCAGAACCATCGGACAGATTTTTTCTTCCGAAAATCATCTGACCCAATCTTCAAAGCCCGGTTGATGTCCATGTTGAAATGCAACAATTTTCGTGGTGGAACACCCTCGGTTTACATTCGGCCAATCATGATTGCCCAATACATGTTGGTTCACCCAATGCCCACATTTGTTGGTACAAGTATAGATCTTCAGTTTAATCTAATTCATATCCAAGCTTGAAAAAGCCAGATGCTGACCGATTAAACTTCCATATCTTCAGTGGAAATTCCAGGACCCTAAAATGGAGGTACTCCTAAAATGGTGGTACCCCACATCATCCATTTTAATAGGATTGTCCATGATAAACCAACCGCTTTGGTGATCCCCCATTTATGTAAACCTCCATATAAGGCCATTGATATCTGTTGTTTTGATGGCGTCTGGCCCCACCCAGACATCCACCCAGCCTCCTCTGGGGAAAAGTTGATCAGAGTCTCGTACTCCTATGGTCAGGGGTGGAGTACTCCACCTCGTGTGCTTCCATTTTTGTCGGAAAAAAAACACGCAAATCAATCTATGTGAAAATTGTTTCAGTTACATTTATATTACGTATTATTGTGTTATATTCCGATAATTAGATCATGTTCAATTCTTTTTGTTGGATAATATGATATACAGATGGTCTATTTGGAAGGGAGATCAATCAGGACTTCCCCAAGCAGCACTCACTCAGCCGCAATATGCGGGAGGACCTTGTACATCTCCAAAGCTTCCTGCAGTAGGCAGGTGGTAGCCGGTGGGGAGAGATACTGATGAATAAAAAGGGTGTGGATATGTCGTCTCAAAAACCATCAACCCAGATTTGTTTTTTACTCAATTCAACATAACTCAATCCATACCAAAGCTGAATAACTGTCCAAGCCCATCCCCCAAAGAAACACGTCCTGATACCTCGACTGCTTCATCCTCACAGTGGTGTAGAAGTTAAGCCTTGAGACATGGCGATCCTGCCTTACAACTAATGACCAATAGCTGGTCGAACCATTTCCAATTGGAATAATGTGGCAAGCCCAATTTTGGAGGCCCCCTGTTTGCTGTTTATACCATCCATTTAACTGGTGAGACTTTGAGGATGTTTTATGATTGGTTTTACTATGGGTTTTACCACATGAACCCCAGCATGACTTGGGATGGCTGTGGTTCAGTTCTCATCACCATCGACACCATTCACTGAATGGACACGGGGGGATCCCAGATAGCGCCATGCATGGTTTTTACCGGCCAAGCAACAGCTTGAAGTACCAAACGCCACCACGTTCCAAGCACAGCGGAGCGATTTGAGCGCACAAGCGGTCGGCCTCCAAGCTGGCAATGGAAAATCCCAGCATTTGTAGATGGATATCCATTGAAAAGGAGGGTGAACATGATATCCAGATATGCCAGATTAGATGTGTATTATATATTAATTATATATGTACATATATTACCAGAGGCTTAGAGGCTGCATCAAGAGAGTTGATCTTTCTCTTCAGCTGATGCCTTCCTAAGAAGGTACAGTATAGTTCTTTCTTTAAACTTGAATCTAAAACAATATATGCTAGTTGCTATCCAAAAACGTCATGTAATGTACGAAATGCACATGTAACATTAACACTATATATATAATATATACTGTATACATATATATATATATGTACAGTTATAACACATTTTGAATACATTATATAATATAACTATCTATCTATATGGCAATGAGTCAAAACCTTGTACCCCTGTAGTTCACATCAAAATAGCTGGTAAATGGATGTTCATCCCCCTAAAAATGGTATTAATAGGTATTGATTCATAGCCATTATATAATATTTCACTAACCTGAATCTTGCGGCCATTTGGGGATGATTTCCCTTACTAACCATGATTCCAGGTTTCGGTCGCAGTGAGGTCGTTATAATTTACCCAGATTATATATATATATATATATATTTATACGTATGTATGGAGGTTTCCTGAAATAGGGGTACCTCTAAATCATCCATTTTAATAGGATTTTCCATGAAATAAACCATCCATTTACCATTCCAGTACATGAGCGATTTCGACGCTGCCTTGTCGATTTCGTAGTTCTTCAGATAGACCTGGATCGTCCCAAACAGCACGCCGCCGTTCTGTTCTGTTTAGGAGCAAATCCATGGAAAGTCCACGAAACAATGGAGGTGTTCATCAGAAAATAAACTACAAATTACTATTTATATTATATATATATGTATAATATTATATATTATATTATATATATATAATATATATATATATTACTATAAATGGATATAAATGGATGAATTTACATTGCCACCTTTCATTACCAGAGGCTATTCGTTTAATACTGTAACAACTGTGACCCACTTAAAACATCTTAAAACAGAGTTCTTGATCCTCGAAGTACCAGTATCCATAGAAATAATATTATTCCAACAAGCCAGTCCCACCATAAACCCAACAGTTTTTGGAGTTGAAAAACAACTTGGCTAGGGCCAAAAAACTGGGACACCACATATTATTGATATCAAGTTAATATTTATTTTTATCAAATTAGATCAAATGATATTATGAACATCCACCAGTTACATTCCTCCCTCCAAACACGGCAGGGCTGACCCCAATGAGGTCAATGGCCGTGCCCAGGTTGCGGTTCTGCCCCAAGACTTGGGTTACTTGCTCCTGGTGCCGAGGATTTGCTGTAGGCACGCATGAACCGGAAGCAATTGCAATAGCTATGAACTTTTAACTTTGGGGGGTAGCAATCTTAAGGCGGAAAAGACCAATCATCCAACATCTGCGAGCTGACCCCTTTTGCGGACAAATTAACCGCGTTCTGACAATGGAACATGTATCTATACAGTCATATGTGTATATATATATATATATGTATATATACATATATTAGTCATATAATGTCATTATATATCGTCAGGGTCATATTATATATACATATTTATAATATGTCTAGTCAAAAAAATGCATACACCAATTATGTACACAACTATATATAAATATGTAGAACATTGTAGAACATTGTAGAAGCGACGTCATACACCATCGGCATCGCCGATGGTAACATGGTCCTCCTTCAGCTCTTTCCAGGCCATCATTGAGGGTTCCAAGTAGGACAGCACATCGCGCCCGGGCGCCTGGGATGTATGGCTTGGAGAATGGATCGAGGTGGAAAAAATTATTCATAAAGCCCGTTGACTTCGTTGATTTATCTATGAAAAGTGGGGATGTTCCAGTTCGCTTTTTCTATGTTTACCAGGCCGGGTAAACTTTACGGATACATGCTGGATTTTGTGGCTGGCGTTGTCTGAACATGCTGTAGCACCACATCCAATATGGTTGATGAGCATATTCCCCACATCAATATGGTTATATATGGATGCTGACCCATTTTTAGACAGACCCATATATAATATAGACATACTGGCAACCTGAAACCACAGTGCAAGTGGAAGCCACAAAAATTAAGTGAGCATCCGAGATAGTCAGTGGTTAACCCTGGTTAGTATGGTTAGTATGGTTAGTAAGTCCCTGATCCTTGGGCATTCTCCGTTTTCTGCCATTTGTATCTAGCTTGCGACCATGACTATTAGAAAACATCAGCCACTCCGCCTTTTCAGCACCAAACAACAACATCATATCAAAATACAAGAGAAACAACTCAATGCTCTTGGTTGAATCATTAAATACCATAAAAATCCATAAAACCATATATATATATATGTATACAAGTCGTGAACAAATCACCATTATATGCCATATAGTATAAACTATCATAACTATCATTATCATTGTCATTGGAATATCAACTCTATATATATAATATAATATATATATATATATTATATACATAATATCAATATTCCATATAAATCCACTTTCTTCATCCACCAGAGCATTGTGAAAAATCGCAATTCACGGATGCCTTGGAGATCAAGGAGATCTTGGAGGCCTGGCTTCCTCCCACCTGGCACAGCAAAAACCTGGGAATATCCTGGGATTTGGGCCATTTGGGCATGGGAAATCCCAGGAAAATGAACAATTTTGTTCATGGTTGGACAAGTTGTGAGGCTTTTTGACGGATTTCTGGTTTTCATGAGTGACATTGCAATAATGTGTATTGTATAGATGTTGATGATTATTGATCATTCGTGATTAGAAACATGAATATAGAAAATGACGATCATGTCGAAATTTTTGGGTGGCTTCGTTAGGAATTAAGTCACTCACCCTCAGAAAGGATTGAAACCACCCAACAGCCCTGCAGAAACATCGGGATGAGCATTAGAGTTGCAAACTACCTATGTTTGTTGCGAATATTCCGATATGGGTGTGTTGTCCCTTTTTTTGTCCGCAAAAACGACGCTGTCTAAAGAGTCCAAAGGCAGTCTATGCAACATGATTTCGTGTTGCATTGTGCTCAGGCTTCCAGAGCCTTCTTTTCGGCCAGGTCAGACGTTGCTTAAGTGGTTCTGCGCGTAGAGTCGCAAAATATTCATGCAAGTCACAAATGTTTCACAATGCAGGACATCAGCCTCAGTGATTGCGATCTCCTGCTCGTTGCTGTTGCTCTCGAACTTCAGCACCAAGAGACGTTTCCTTACAAAGGGTTGCAGAGAAATCTGCAGTGTACCATATGGTAGCTCCTCTGCGCGGAGAATGCCCTTTATGCTGCCGATTGCCACTTTCAATGACCACCGGCCTTGAGTGCCACCCGATTCCACTGTGAGGAAGTGAAGCCACCGGTCAATGAAGTACGTTGCGTCATACACCTTGCCAGTCACCAAATCCACGCAGCCACATGAGACGCCTCTGATGGCTGTACTGGTAAAGTTCCTCACCAACAGCTTGAGCCGTGCCTTCTCCTCACGTCGTGCATCTTCCGAAATCTTCGAGAGACTACCAGGATCATTTTCACTGCGCCCAGCAGGAAAAACTCCCGCGGACTCCACCAAGAGATTTGCCTCGTTCTGCAAATCTGGCGGTTCACAGCAATATGCTGCTCCCATTGCAATGCATACTCGCTTACAAACTGCACCAAATTCCAATGTTGCAATTTTGCCAGAAAAGGGAATGTTGTATTCATTGTCGATAAGTCATTGACTTTTGATGTTACTACAAAAAAAACGAACGGTCGCAATTGTTCATTGCCTTATAATGTACAGAAAAATTGGGTTGATCGTTTGATCCAAGACGGCTTGAGCCAAAATGGCTACGGAGATATGGGTGTGTTGTCCCATCTAGATTCAAATAGATCATTGTATATGTAACATGTGTCTATATATTTTACATACCTCTTTCTCTATCTTTACCTGCAACATGACCGTCCATCTCCAGGTCAAAGCCACTCCCCCAATACCGCGGCTGTTTTCCCCGCCGTGAAAAACCGCGCATCCACAGGCGCGGCTCCGGCCCCGCGGGCGGAAACGAGACACACAGCTGCCAAGGCTCTTGCTGGACCATGTCGTCTCTGCTTGGTGGTGCACTTCAAAAGTCACGCAGATGGAACATCCAGAAATATGCCGAAGACCCTCCCAAAAGGAGGATGTAGGATCATGAAATGGATGGGCTATTGGCTTTGATTTCAGGCCAACAAAAACGGACAAAACATGACACCTTCACTTGGACCAGATGCTCAACTGACTTTTTATTGATGTTGTTGCAGCCCAATCCACCCGGTCTCCCCTTTCGGTGTCGTTGGCACCTTATAACTTGGCTAAACGTTCGGCAGCCTTCAAGGGATGTCGACCGTCCACATGGCCGATGAACGGTGGATGAATGGAGTAGCCGATCATCGATTGAATGGCTTCCGGCAGCTCGTGCACTTGGTCAAAGGGCACGGACATCCTGATGGGTGCTGCCAAGAAAGCTCTGTTGATGGCACTATTAGACTATTAGCCACCCATTTCGAAAATTAGGAGCTTATTATTGAGTTTACCACTTTCTACAGCAAAAAACAAAAGCCGGGTGTGTAAGCAATGAAAATGGGGATGTGACTGGAAAACGTGGGGCAGAGAATTAGCAATACTGGGAATACATCATTGCAAAACACCGTTAAACATGTCGTCGTGTCGTCGATCAGTGCTGGTTGGCAAGTTGATGTTCGCTTCCGCTTCTGTGGAGGTTGTTCTGTTCTCCCATGCCATAAGGAGGCCTCTCTTCCTATACCAGTAAAGGTGCGTTGAATGATCCACAAGAAGCACTTGGTATGTTGGGTTGGGTCTAAATTTCAATGTATAAAAGAAACTGCGGTGACTTGTTGGCATGCCACATCACTTTCTGGGGTACCCAAGTTTCATGGGAGATTCCTATTGAAACATGGGGCAGTTTCCCATGGTTCACCTCTTAGTTGCAGCTTTGTGGATGAGTTCCACTGGCTGATAGGGAGTCCCATGGTTGGATTTGGGCAATACCTAGCAGACCAAGAAGGATCAATTCCCTCATATTTGTTTGTATAATTTTCTGGGCCAATCCCTGTTTTTGACGCTTGATACTGATATGATTGGGGCCTGATTGGGGTACTTTCTTTTTGCACTGCTGCTGAACCACAAATCCGCCTTTCCGGTAGATTTCCGCTGCAACCAATGCAGTGATAAACGAATCATTCATCAACCTTGCATGTTTGATGCTTGATATCCTCTTAAAAGCCCCCATCAACCCAATTAGCATAATTGTTTACCAGCAGCTGCAGCAGCAGCAGCATCACCAGCATCATCACTGTCATCACCATCACCCTGCTGTGATTTCTCCGGTGTTGTTTTTTGTCTTCCCTCCCCTGCTATTTGGTGTTCATCCCACGGCCCATGGGTGTTTCTCAAAATGGACCCCAATGGCCCATGAGCTGTTTATACTAAAATCCTCAAAGTTTGGATGATTTAGGGCTTCCTTGGTTTGTTGGAACCCCTACAGAAATGTCATCCTCAAGTCAAGCGTCATCATGTTTTCCTGCTGCCGGACCCACGGCTGGCAGTACTGCGCCGTAAAGGCGCATCGGTTGGTGTCAATGCTCACGTTGGCACCGCCCCCGTGCCTTGCAGATAGTGAAGAGAGTGAAGTCACACATGATCCGAAATCATCCCAATCACTCCCACAAGAAATAGGTTTTACAAGGGGAAAAAATAAAAAAAAATGGTTTGCTGGGGATGGTTTTGATTTATGATCCATGATGATTGATGGATCGGACAGCATATTTGGTGACCAGGAAATATTACCTGACTTGCAATGGATGATCACCATATGGAATAGCAAATCTACAGATCATTTTTGGGTATCCATTGCCAGGCTTTTCCAATATGCACCTCATCTTTACAATATTAAATTCAATGCCTAGTCTCTCATTTTGAGGATGGAAAAGAAGAAAGAGTTCCTGCAAACCACCGAGAACTCGCCATGGATTCACCAGAGATCAGGTTTTTCTCGGGTTTGAAAATCAGCTACCCCAAGACCCTGAAATCCTCTGGTTGATCCCCAGTTTCCGGATTGAAAGTTGCCTAATTTTGAGGCAAATAAAAAATATTCAGCTGAAATCAACATATCTCCATGAATTAATCCCCCATCTATAGATGATTTCCCATAAAATCTCCGCCTTTTTAGACGCGCCCACATCATATTAAGTTGGTTATATACCCAAGATATACCCATAACATATCCATCAGTCCCATTACACAAATCCCCCAAAAAGGGTCATACGAGATGGGCCTTTTCTGTTCGATAGCTAAGTTGATGCAAATATATCCAAGAACTGTTGGGTTTATAGAAGATATACCATCTGGTTATTTAACATAGCCATGGAAAATCACCATTTTCAATATAGGTAAACCTCTATAAATGGGCTATTTCCCATGGCTATGTTAAATAGCCAGAGGGTAACTATAGTTTTCATGTATAAACCAAGAAACATTACCAGGGGGGCCCACCGTGTAGTGAAATGACCCTGCTGATGATGGGAAAAAAAGTCATCAATGATTACGAATTTGAAAATGATCATCCCGGTTTTTGGGGGGATCCCCCATTTAAAAAAACCACCAAAGTCATCAATCCCTATGGCCCTGGTAGCCCTGGTCAGTAGTGAATCCCCCTCCCGTCTTCGCCAGGGGCCATAAGGTGCCACTGAAGAAGACGCAGCTTCCAATCGCAAGCTCAGCAGGGATGGCCATCTCCTTCATCACCTCAATGGCACCGTTTTTGGGGCCACCCCGAACGCGTTTGGGTGGGAAAAAAAAACTACCTAAACAATACGTGTGTGCATGTATATATATATACATATATATGGGGATACCCTTAAATCATCCATGTTAATAGGATTTTCCATTATCAACCATCCAGCTATTGGGGATCCCCCGAAAGACCAACTCTCAAGAACCAACAAAGACAGCAACAAGAGAAACTGAAAACATTCGATAAGTCTCCAAAAAAAAACAACCAAAACAACGACCATATCACATTTATGATCATATGGGTGTGTCTGAAAATGGGGAATACCCATGAGATTACAATTTCAGAGGGAAAATAATGTTCTAAACCATCAAACTTGCGGGTACACCTATTTTCAGGTCCAGAGCGATATGAAACCAACAAACATAACCTCTGGCAAACTAACATAGCTAGTTTAAAAAAAAAAAACATTGTTTTCCGTTGGAAAATTCACTATACATGGTGATTTTCCATAGTTATGTAAACGTTTACCAGAGGCTATATCTAGGTAAATCACCATGAATACGTAAATCAAGGGACGAAAAATCACCCATGGGTTTTTCTCCCAATACGGATGATCCCAAAGGACGATCCCCTAGGATGATTCTCCCAATGAAAAAACATTGAAATCCACCATTGAAATCCCATGAAAATCCCATTGAATATCCCATTAAATCCCATTGAAATCCCATCAAAATCATTCAAAATCCCAGAATATCCCATTGAAATCCCAGTAAAACAGCATTAAATCCGAGGGACCTTTGGCGCCGGACA